CAAGTTAATGGTAAAAAAGTCATTATTTTGATTGAATGGTTTCAACGTTATTTGATTTTTCGCTTTATAAATTATATTCTCGTTCACTTTCTTTTTTAAGTTTACAAAAGTGACTGTATTAAAACGCCAAGAGCAGCGATTGACACACTTTTATTATTGAAACCAAAAGAAAAAAAGGCAGCCCTTCGGGGAGTTACTATTATTGTTTTTTTTGATTGAATGATTTAGTAAGTTTTTTCATCTTTTTTTTATAAACATATATAAAAAATAATTAATAATAATAAAAAATGAAATAATGTAGACTTGAATTAAAATTATAGACAAGAAGTGATTTTTTGTTGATTACATTACATGTGAACTAAACAATAATTATGAGCAATAATGTAAGATAATACAATCTTTAAAAATAGTATAAAACACTTTTATCACAATAATGAAACATGTCATTAAAAACTGATTGATAAAAATAAATCATTGTTCAATTGTAAAAATAAAAGTCTCGTCACCATTTTTTAAATTATGGTGAAAAGGATTGCATAATTTAAAAATATAGTGATGCATTTAGTTCTATATAAGTCACACAAGAAAATACAACAGTTATATATTACATTAGATGTTATCTTAATATTTTTATTGTATTTGTTATTTGAATAATAAAAAAATGACAAAATTATAAAATTCAATATATTTTTAATGATGTTGTTGTGTTTGAAATAACATAATTTTTTAGTGTGAATAACTTATATATATTAAACAAATCAAGCACTCTGTTTGATGTATCTGTGATTGTTATAGAAATGTAAAACTATGTGTTTTAAGTGTCTTGATTATTAATTTGATAATTTAATAGTTAAATTGTGGTTAATTTCATAGACTAATTGACTTGAAAATGTTAAAATAATTACAAATAATTGCAATTGAAAAGTTTTCTGTTTATCAGTAAATTTTTATCTATGGTCAATATAAGTAGCCAACTAACATGTCAAATGAATGTTCTTATCAATATTGGCAGTGCTTGTTTTGTTATTTAACAAAGAAAATGAAATTATTTCAATTTTTAATTTTCAAGTAAAAAACTTGTTGTGTCTGTTAATAAAATAAATAATAAGTTATAGTTGTTTTCAATTATAGTATCTTAATTATATTTTATTAATTATTGTTATTATTTGTTTGAATAACTTTGTATAGATTATGTTTACTATAATTTGTGTTTGCGACCATATTGTTTTTTAAGCGATTTACTCGTGACCAAAAAACTAAAATAAGTATAAAACACAAATAAAAAATAAACATTTTGTATTTTGTTTAGCCTTTAAACAACACATTTTTTAAAAAATAGAAAGTCTTTTATTTATTTATCAATGTTTTTCATAACCCGATTATTTGCTCAGTTATCAACAAAATTATTATTTCATAAAAATAATGGTATTTTTTTCAATTAAATTGCCACAAATTTTGTTTTTTTCTTGTTAATTTTGAAAACCAGAATTGTGCCGACCCATGGATTATTTACAATAAATGACAACTCAAACTCGTAAATTAAAAATAATTATTTCAACTTATAAATAATTTAACACTTAAAATAACACCCTTGTTTTTTGATTGATGATTATCAATCCAATTTTTAATGATTATCCTTTTTGGCTTGTGTATTGTTTGTGCACATAATATAAACTCTAAAAAACGGAAATTTATTTAATAAACTCGAGATTTTCAGATTTTTAAACCACTTGAATTCTGTTCAATGTTATTTAAAGTGTTAATAAAACATGAAAAATTTTCATATAAAAAAATAACACGTGCTTTTTATAATAATAAAAAGTGTTATTCTATTTTATTATATAATGTTATATAAAGTCATCCTTAAAACTGTACAACTTTGACGTGTCAGTGCAACTTTGTTTATAGTATAATTATA